AACGAAAACGTAAATTTCGCGACACGAAGCTGCTTGCTGGCCGATTCGATTAGTTTCCAGCTAGGAATTTGCATCCCTGACGAAACGGTCGGTCAGTTGGCCGTCCGATTTGCTGTTGTTGCCAATGTTATTACCGTCGTTGTTTCATTATCGTTAGTCGAAGTATCGTTTCTCAGCCAGTTGCTCCGCACGTGCAGCGGAATAGCCGCGGTACGTACGAAGCGAAACACGAGGATACTTTTTATCTTGTCGCGAAATTTTAACAATAAGTAACTCTCGAACCGAGTTATTTTTCCAAAGTACGTTTTTTTCTTTTTTTCTTTTTTTTTTTTTTGCCCTGGGAACGTGTCCATCTCTGTCCGTATTTACCTTCTACGTCGCCGATAGAAATATATTTTTAACCTACGCTCTGTGTGTTTCGACATTGACGAACCCCGACGCCCGGGAGATCCCGCGCGACGAAATTGTTCGACCTATATTCCGTATCTCCCACGGCCGACTAAATCAATTTCCCCATTTTTATATTTTTAATCAATCTCCGATGATCACCATCGAAGACCCTCCCTTCCGCCCTCTTTTCATTTTCCCCGTCTCGCACGACACACATCGTCCCCGTTCATTTAATCTTTCCTATCGATAAAAGATTCCCCGTGAATCGTCTGCAAATAAACCCCATCTTCCGTCGATCGTGCAAACGTCGAATACCTGCCAGTACCTCTGCCAACGATTCTTACTTGTTTAACCCCTTGCGCTGGTTCGCGGACCATAACGAGTGACCGAACTGTGTACAGTAATTTGTCGCTTTCTTTTTCTTTTGAACTCGTCGGTATGATATCATTGGATTTAAATTATTAATAATCATCATTTGTTTTGCCTGGGTTACATTTAAATATACTTAAAACTGAGAAAATGTTGCAAAGAGTTGGGTTGCAAAGAGTTCTCGACGCGCAAGAGGTTAAAGGAACCGGGAAGAGAACAGCTTCCGATAAAGAATGAAAATTCAATCGCAAAATTGTTCAAGAACGCGAGATTGTCAAGGGTGTAGAACGTTCATCACACACCCTCGTCGAGCAAACGTCGCTTCATTAAGCTTTCTTTAGGGTTCTCGAGACGTTTTGTTTACCGATCACAAGTACCAGTCTCTGGTGCCAATATGTACCAACTCGGCCTACTAACAATCACTTAAAGTGAGATTGACGTCTTCCGACAATCGCGGTTACGATTGTCCATGAAACTGTTTCGTTCGGCCACGCTTGCTGTCGGCTACCGCTTTCGTATATTACCGGCCGTGTTCATTGGCAGCTTTTAATTAACTTCGTGCACGGAAAAGTAATAATAGCCGGCGCACTTTACATAAACTCGATAATCGACAGACACGAGCGAAACCGGTGAAGCGGTTGGGCTGCACCGTGGCCCGGTTATATTGCGGCTTGAGTTACATGCTCCAGTGCGTCCTAGAACAGCAACGAACTAGCCGCTGATTGCTGGAAATTTTCGGCCCGAGATAGACGCCGGGTAGCCCCGGTTGCGGACAGACCGGTATAATTGATCATCCAGCGATCTTCGTTCCCCTGTTCTGGCGAAATAAAGCCAATCTCGGAGAAACAGAATTTAACTTTCGCCAATATTCGTGGGATATAGTCCAGGTCGAATATATTCGGAAAAATTCAGAGATAATGTCCTTTATTTAGAGAAAATATCTTTTTTTTTTAAATATTGCTTGTCTTCCTCAACAGTGACTTGCCTCTAATGATTATTCATTATTATCATTATGTTTGTGAATGAGACTATGTTACGCTCCAATTTTTAGAAACATTTTTTTCTTTTGTAATTAATTAATTCCAATCCCTTTTTCAAATCAGTAACATTTCCAGGAAGCGAAATATTCCGCGAGTAAATTATAAGTCGCGTAATAATTTGCGAGGAGCCACTAACAATCTTGATATTTATTAATGTATAAGAGGCTCAGAAGTCAATCAGTTTGAATGACTTTTTATTGAAAGTTAATTGTATCATGCAAACATCTTTTTGTTATTGAAACTAACAGTCGATGGAACAGTTTGTTCATTGATTCCAATCATTTAAATAGTAAATAGTAATATTTTTAATAGTTTCAATTATTATGATACAGTGACCATCTAATAATGACCAAACTGTTCTCTCTAAAGCAACATACACTGATTAGAATGTTCTATATATATGTCTCGTATGTTGATATTTCATCATAATTAATTAGTATTAACGGAGAATAGTAAATATGTAATCAAGATTTGACAAATTATAATTTACGTGAACAGGTATAATTTAAATCATAAAATCCAAGTGATGCAAATGTGTTAGATATTTGGCAGAAAATCGTGATGAGCAATCAATTTTTCCAATCAAATTACGAACAAAAGAGGAAGCTGTTTTAGCAGATAGATGTAACGTTGCAGACAAAATCTGTTAAGAGTTAGTATAAAGAAAAAAAGAAAAAAAAAACAGAAATATACGTGATGATTCATTTGTATTATAACTGAAAGAAAACATTTTGAATTTGTTGGGACGTGGTTGTAAAAATTAAACCGACTCTGCGTTGTGTAACCGGCTGAGCAAAGCGAAACGGATTGTTAGCAAACAGTTATACGGCAATCGTGAGCCAGCAATAATGAAAATACTCGTCGATCGAAATTAACAATCGAACACGCATGTTTTATTTCACTTTATCACGGTGAAATGCTCACTGGCGAGCGTTCAGTGAGAAACTTGGCGAGAAACACAGCTGGAGATCAATAGTTCTCGTTCACGCTCCTGGAAATTGAAACGCAACGAACGTCAACCGTTACCAAACTCTTTTGCGGAGTCAATTATTCCCGATAGAGGCGATTACTTTTTATAACACCGCGCCAACATCAATTTTTCATCGATATACTTTTACTTTAATCGAGCATCGATATCGAAAAAATTCGCAACGAAGTTTCCAAAAATATATCGCCTGTAATCTTATACACAGTGATCAAAAAAAGTGAAGAAAACTCATGCAGTTTACAATAGTTTTATATATATTAATGTTCGTGTGTAAAAGTGTTAACACAGTTTATAATTGAAAGTTTTTAGAGGTTCGACAGGCGACTAGAAGTTTATTTCCATTGCAACTGAAGAGATACTTTTATACGTAAAATTTCTTCGTTATCTTGACCACATCTTACAAACGTCGTCAACATTATTGACATCCCGTACGCAATGTAGCAAAAATCGCCAGCGAAATTAATAAAAATGACGTTAATCTCCACTGTCTAATCGCGAACGACGTTAACGTCGATTTTACAGGCAGTTTCGGCGCTTCTCGATCGTTTCTGAATCCGCGCAACATCCGCTGCCACACTGGTATGGTAAAACTTCCTCCAAACGCCCGGAGGACCGTCGCAATTAGTGAATTCAGCGCCTCGAATACGCCTAGCCTCGAAATAAAAGAAGAAACCACGTGTCTCGTTAAGGTAACGCGCAAGGGCCGGAAGTTTGATTAGTCGGCAGTCGGTGCAGACAGAATATTAGCGAACTTAGCCGAGGAACTTGTTCATTAGTGGATCAGCTAAGTGTATATATACGTATGTGTATGTACACGTGTATATACGTTAGAGAGTGTGTGTGAGAGAGGTGGACGCCTTGGTAAATCCACGTTGTAATCTGACGGTTAGATCGGGCCGGCGATTGAAACTGCCAGCAACAGCCGAACAGTTCCAAGCCGCCGCGGTTTCAGAAGGGTCTGGCCTGCAACTAATATACGCGCGTGTAATTAGTTGTGTCGCGTTCGATAGTGCGCTTCGTGGCTGATTTGTTGTTGGCTATGGTAATTTTATTGGCCCTGCGCGACTCTTGGGGGCAGCAGCGCTTCACGCGCGGTATCGCGCCACACGCGTGCCCCCGACTACGTTTCTATGACTACGTTCCTGCGAGCCGCGTTTCCGCTACCCTGCTCCCAAATTGATGATGACAGAGGAGGGGAAACTTCGCGGTACGGAAATTAGCGAATTGAAACGCACCGAAACCTCGCGACACCGACTCCCATTAACTCGTGCGTGTATATGTGTGTGTGTATGTGTGCGTGCGTGCGTGCACGTGCCACAGAAACGCTTTGGTTTTTCGGTTTCGAGAAACCGGGAGAGTGAAGATCGTTGTTTGGTAATTTGTCGATCGCCATGCTTCCGCTTTGGCACTTGTTTCCGGCGATGACTCCGCAGAAATTTATAGAGCGTTTTATAGCTGCGTCACCGTAAAGAAACTTGAGAGAATTTACGTAAATTAGGCTTGTTTTTAAGTAGTAACCAGCTGTCCGCTGTCGGACAACATACCCGGAGAATTAAGAAATAGAAATTTCACTTACCTGGTGTCCTCTTCAATTCCGTTGATCAGCGACGAACTTGTTTCTTCATCGTTTAAAGTTCTGCTAGTTATAATTCACATCTTGTTCAATGAAAATGTTTACGTGTAACTTTTGCGTCGGTACAGTACGTGTTTTCTCTTACGCGTGTTACTTGAATGAAATAATGACTCGAAGGTAATGAGGAGACGTGCAAGGACCGGTGAAACGGCGAATGAAAAGTGGAGACTGGTTTTTAGAAAAACATTTACATATTTATATATATAAAATATAATACAATTTGTTACAGTGTAGATGATAGTGTAGCGTTTAGACGTTAATATCCAGTGTAAATTAGGTATAAATCTAAGAGCGGTCTGGAAGGACAGGGACGCCCGGTAACGCGTACAATCTGTGCGGGGGCGCGCGCGCGTCGTCACGCGCGGACACGCGCGCACACGCACCGCGGGCAGTACAGGTTCAACATGTTACATGTAAATCATAAAGATACGAGACACTATTTAGCTAGCTATCTGAATTCGAGTGTGTGTAGGTGCCTATGAAGAGTCCGGGACGTAATTTAAATCTAAAAACTATATACAGGATACCTATGTACACGCATACGCTATTCGTTCGATTCCTTTTTTTATTTCTCGTACTCTTTTGCTCTTCTTTTTTTTTTCCTCTCTCGCACAATCTCCGCGTCCCAATATCTAGGATAATTGAGCCACGGGCACCGTTGCCGATGTTTTACTAATCTTTTCTACATACAGTACATACATTTTCCCCGATTTCCTGGCCCCGCCGAGTTTTCGTTAAACGCCTCTAAAAATCGCGTTTCACGGATTCCTCGCGTCGTCGATTCGTTTCCTCTCGTCAATTTCGGCTGGGAACGACGTCTCTCTCTGAATCGACGAGATTGCAACGGTTTCTCCTCCGATTCAGGTACAGCACAGGTACTGCTTCTTTTGTCACACCGTCTCGTTACACGGATCCACCCGCTGGCACGTTACAACGCGTTTTGTAATTTATCGTTAGGATGAAATTACAAATGTGACAGCTCTCTCTCTGGTAGTGGTTAGCTTTATCGAACGCTCGATGAAAGCCAGGAATCTCGGCGCGATAACGAACCAGCTAACGTACATACGATGCAAGATCATTGGGTATAAATGCGTAATATCGTTCCCTATTTATCTAACATAATTATTCCAGCATAAATGACATTTACTTGTGACACTTTGCTTGATTGTTCTGGTCATATCACCGACAGTTCCTATCAGGCCAAACATTCTTCCCCAACACCCAACGCTCCCGAAAAAAAAAAAAAAAAAAAAAAAAACACCCCTCGGCGACGCGACGTCTCGCTGTGACGATCAGGCGTCAACGAACCGGACCACCGCTTCACTGAAAATCACCGCCGTCGACGTCGCAGTGCACGGAAGAAGTCACGTCGAACGACTTCTTCTCCTCGCCTCTCAGATCGTGAACGAGTTTCATCGGCGATGATAAATCGTCGTTCGTTCCGTGGAGGATCGCTACGTTCCGCACATACGTACACGCAGCGAGGAAACTCGAGGTAAGGAAAAGCAACTGACACCTCGTATCGAACGTTTCTCGAAATTGTCCTGTTCTCCTCGTAACTGCGTTTACCTCGATCCTCTGTCATTCGATCGTCGATCGATCCTGTCACCTCGCCGATCTCTTTTTTTTTTTTCGATATCACGCCGACGAGCACACGTCGACGATAATTTTTCCGTGTTCTTCCTTTCTGTGTACGTAGGTCCGCGTGTTTCGTATGGATATTCAGACGCGTTGCACGCGCTGACTCGACGGCTCCGTGTTATGCGTATGGAAAAACGAAAGAGAACAACAGGGAGGGTGAACGAAAGAAAGAAGAACGGCGTACGAAAGACGGGGTACGATGTGGAATTGGTACGCTGACATTAGCGAAGCGACGATTGGCAGTATCACCGGCAAACCCGGCTCGGCAAGAACGATTAATGCTTGAAAAGGAACGGACCTTCAGCGCCTAAAAGTAACGTGTTTTCTCCTCTTTCTTTCTTTTCCTTTCTTTTCTTCCTTTTTTTTTTCTTTTTTTTTCTCCTCGAGGGTGAAGGTAATCGCTCGACTGCCCTACGATCTCTACACACACAGATCCCCTATGACATTTACGAATTACCGTAGTATTAAATTGTAAAATGTGGCTACGCGCTTATTAGTTTTTTTTTTTTTTTCCTTTTACCGATTAGTCCGACTACTTAGTGAGGTTTTTTTTAAATATTTCTACGCTAAAGAAAAAGAGAGAGAGAGAAAGAGAGAAAGAGAGCTTTTTCATCGATGATCGGTCGTCGCGAATCGCAGGAGATTGATAGCAAAAGACACCGACTGAACAAACACGGGATCGAACGAACCGGTTGGATTTTTAAATCGACGACAGAGAAGTGAACGAAAAACAACAGGCACACACGCGCGAATCTAATCGAAATCGCGGGATATCTCGCTCGTGCGACCTTCCGAAAAACAAACCAGCGAACGAAGCACCGCGAGATCTTGTGTCTTTGACCGCAAAATCTTCGTTCTCTGCCCCTAATGCAAATAGAATCGAGGAAAAGCGCGCGCATTAAGGGACTCTTGACTACAATACTATCGATCGCGGTGCTCCGCGGTAAGTCCTCTTCCCCTTGCACGCCGTCATACGTGTGTTATTCCTTTCCGTTTCCCCTTCCCCTCTCTCTTTCTCCTTTCCCAATAATTAAAGTGGTGCTTCGAAGGTTTAATCGACTGAACGAGTATCAAATGAGGGTACACAGTGACAGGTCAAGAATCGGATCCAAATTAAACTCAGCCACGCCAACTAGATTGGGTTTAATTCCATGCTCGAGAAAAGAGGGGAGAAAAAACTCCGCTTTCTCTGGTCGGTTTTAAAATTGTAGTGTCAATGTCTGATCGATATTAAGAACATGCACGTTAATATTTGTCTTTCTTTCCTTTTTTTTTTTTTTTTTCGCTTTCTCATCATTTGGTTACCATCGGCGGTAAATTGTTCATCCAAACAAACTCGTTTATTGTCACAAACTATTACACACACTGCTCGACATGGTCGAATGAAACACGATGCTCCGGTGAAATTTCAAACGATATACATCCTGATGTGAATCACGCTTCCTAACTACTGAAAGTAGTGATTGATCAAATCATACGAAATGCGCGACGAGACGGTCTACCAAGGAGTCAAAGCACCGCTTTAAAGCGTCATCGCGAAGAAAGGGAAGCGCTCGTCTTCCGTTGCGCGGTGTCGATCGCGCAGAGGAGATCGATGCGAAAGACCGCGTGTGCCGTGTCGCAGGCGACGCTTCGCAAACGTGTTGGTGCGCGGAATATATATATATATTAAAAAAAAAAAAAAAAGAACGCATATACATATACGGATGTACACCTAACGCGAAACGTGGAAACGCGGGCGAAACAGAGTGTCAACGCGAGTGTAAAACTTCCTCTCTCTATACAATTAAATAAAAAATAAATAATCGCCGGCGTGAACGGCCGGCCGAACAACGAGAATTACACATTAAGGAACTGTACAGAATATTACACAGGGGGAAATTGGTGCAAACGTTGGTCAAGTGCGAGAGTTTCCAAGTACGGCGTTGGAAAGCTTGATGCCTGTGAGCGTCGAGCGCGAATCGATCAACGTTTGCACAGTCTCCCGTTAAAAAACGCATCTATTCGCATAAATCTAATAGTAACGGAATATACAGATTCCGGCGAGAAGCAAGCGATCTCCCCTGTTGTGAGATTGATCCCTGAAAAATCTGCAAAGTCAACGTCCGAAATCTATCTCTCCAAGTATCCAATGATTTTGTCAAGGTTTCGCACAAACGCTTGGTTCGATTCGCTTGGTTCTCGGCACGGTAAATAATAAACAGCCAACAATATAAAATTTCTTTCGAGTCCAGAAGCCAGAAAATAATCCCGCTCGATCGGCAGGATCTCGATTCCCTCGTGGATATCTTTCGTTTACGATAGTTAACCGCTGAAGAGTAATTGTGTCGCTCATACCTTGAGACGAAGCGAAACTCCGGTTCGAAACTGCGGATCGTTGCTCGTGTAAACAGACTAGAAAACTTGTATCGTATCGCGTTGTCACGTACTAATGCTGTTGCTAATCGGCCGGAGGAACGTGAGTCGAACAAAATCAAACGCGTATGTCAAATCGCACGTATGTACGTACGATCGCTCGTATTATTGAACATCTCGTGTCGTATATCACGCAATATAATATGCATACGTCAGACGTGCACACGAAGTAGGTGAAAGTAACGGAAAGGAGGAGAGCAACGGAGCGAGTGACTTTGTCGCCGGCGATTTCGATTCACGACTCGTATCGACGTTCCTCTTATCTGATCGTGTCAAAGGGCGAGAGAACCATCCGTTTCGACGCAAGCGCAGGCCGACGCTACGACGGAAACGCGATCCTTTGCAGGATTTCGAGTGACCTTCTTTGATCGTATCAACCTTTGCGCGCGACCCGTGTTCACCTCCGAGCGAAATACTCGGCGACTAACCGAATGAAATCGAATTAAATTCTGAATAAAATCGATTACCCGCGAACGAACCTAAAAGCGTGCTTTCATCCCGGCGTCGATACGAATCGATGTTTCGCGAGGCACAGACAGACATTTATACGTTTACCTTTTCCGCGCGCGCGTGCGCGCGTTAACATTTCCCGACGAAGAGGGAGAAAGAGAGAGAGAGAGAGAGAGAGAAGTCGGATCGAAATTGAAAGATATCCAACGACGGTTCCCCTGCGCGAGTACGCGATACGTCATAACAATATAATGCGCGAGCAGAGATCGCGAAAAGGGAGGTCGATCGTCGAATGAGGACAACGTAGACCCTACGATGGACGTTCGTTTGGGGAAAATATCGTATATATTTGGCAATCTTCTACAGACCGTCCACCCCGGACTTCGGCGATCCGCGTAAATCATTCGACGCGCGCGATCACCACACGAAGCCATCAAAAATATTATATATTTCTCTTTTGCCCCGATAGGATCCATCAGTCCGTCGGCTCTCCGTTGACGTGCTTCGAACGAATGTCGTCGTCTGTGTGAAAAATTGTGCCGACAATCGTTCGGCGAAAGCCGTGCACACACGCGTACCGCGAACGCGTGGAAAACGAACGCGAAAAGGAACACCACACCACGGTGTCTACCACCGTCCTCACTCAACGACCAATGAACGACGAATACAGTAGTTGTTTAGTTGAAGTGACGCGTCAAAGGTAGGTACACACCGGTACGTACTTACATATGCATCTCCTCCCCGGTCCAGCGCGATCAACAAGAAGATAAAACGGCCGTCCTAGGTAAACGAAATCGATCGGTCGGTCGATCGGCGTGCAGACGACCAGCCAGCGTTCACCTGAACGTGCCGTGGCCAACGATGGCCACCAGAATGGCCGATGATATCAGGAGAAACGGTACCGATCTGGTAGAGGAACTTCCGCCGGTTGGGCCGTCACTGCTGCGTGACACTTTGCTGCGCACCAATTGTCCACGTTCGACGGCGTTCGTCTCGTCGCTGTCTGGATCCACCGGTGCGCCGATGTCCTCGTCCTCGCTGAGCAACATCGACAGTTTATTCCTCAGTGGTTTCTTCGAGCAGGGCAGGTTCACCTCCTCGTACGGCCTGAGAATCCTTGGATAGTGAACCTCCAGACTGTCGGTGCCCGGCAGCGCCCCCTTGCTCGTCCAGCAAAGCGGTTTGAACGTGCCGCTACGAGTTGCTTCTTGGAAGCTCTGGAAGCTGGTCTCCCAGTCGTAGCTGAGCAAACGTTCCTCCAACGTCATCCCGGACAACTTTTGCGGTTCTTGAATCTTTACCGGGCTGGAACCCCTGCAACAGAGAAAGGGCAGAGCACGTGAAGGCTCGTCTCACTCCGCTCTCAACTCGGTTCCACGACCTATATATTCGTTACGGCGGACAGCGACGAAGTTTCAAGAGTTCCGAGACTCTGGCTCTGCTCTCGTGACCCGCATCGTGAATGCGCGCTCGTTTGCAGGAACAAAGCTTGTTGCCAGAGCCTTTGTGTGCGCCTCGCAGGGGAACAGGAAAGCGTGCGTTCACGTGTGCTTCTGTCTTTCTTGACCGGAAAATTTTTGGTTTGGACGTCGACTGGGATTAAACTAGATTCTCGGCCACGAAGAGGAAACAAGAAAGGGAGAGGGGGGACGAGAGCGAGAACGTTTAGATCGCCGACTGAGCACAGCGACAGGTCGATCGTGCTTGAACGTTTAGAGTAATTAGTTCGACCCGGACCAGGTAACGATCGCGTTGTTGTCGGCAATATGGTAGGTGCATGATTTTGAAGTAGGAACGTTGTTTGCAGCCTGTCTCTGGTCGCGATGCAGCAATTTGGTCGCGATGTCACGCAAAGATGACAATGATCTCTGTCGGAGTTAACGACCCAACTAGCTACGACCTGCCGATATTAGTGGTAGTAATAACAGTAATTTAACTACGGTATTCAATGTAACCGGGAGAGTGTGTTTAGCGAAACAGGACGCTTGTTACATTAAGGTTCGTGACACGTCGCAGGAAGCGTCTTCGTGACACACGTAACATTACGTAATGCAATAAACGATGCGTCTGGCGCAATATAACCGGCGCTCGTTGAACTAACGACGGGTCGTGCGGTCGTGACGCACGGGCCATCGCCGTCCCTAATTGCCAATTTAAAGTAATCAGAGTAAAAGGAGCGAACGTCTGGTCATTGCTTTGTGCGGAGAGGCATACATACGTCGTGATCATTAACGTGGATATCAACCGTGTCGTGTAAATTAATATCGACCGGTCTTTGAACTCTCGATACAAGGGGAAACAAAACAAAACAAAAAAAAAAANAAAACAAAAAAAAAAAAAAAAAAGAAAAAAAAGGGAAAAAAGAACAAAAAAAGTGAAAAAGAAACACAGAACAACGAGCGAAGCGACAGGCGTGATTATTTCGCGAAATTCGAGCGAACCGAACTGTCTCGTTTGTCTCGCGGCGAGAACGATCGCAGCGAAACGAACGAGGGCAGGAGAGCCTCGTCGTCGAAATCGTTGTCGATATTTACACACGCGCTGCAAAACTGTTGTGACAAATACTCACTGCATCAGTTTCTGGATTCCCAAACTTTGCAGAACCGTCGGCAACGAAGGCAAAGAGTAGCAGAGCGACAGCTCGATACGAGGATAATAAAGAGTGGACACTAAACAAGTTTCTTCCCTGGTCGTTAAACCGCCGAGCGTGATTGCTTGCCTAGATTTCGACGAGTATGTACATTCGGCCACCAAGTGATCACCCTGCAACAAAAACACGTGCATCCACCTGCGATTAGTCTATGCGAGGGAATATCGAACAAATAGGAACAAGCTTTTCATTTTCCTATCCACCTCGCTCGCTCGCTCGTCCGTCCGTCCGTCCGTCCGTCCGTCCGATGACATTCCCCATCGGATTTCATCCTCCGTGTTTCGTCGGATCGCAATTGAAATCACCGGGGAACACAAACGGGAGGACCAAAACTCAACTCGACTCGATCGAGTCGACGATCGAGGGAGGGGAAAGGAACAAACGCTCACCGGATAGACCCTGACGGGCTTCTGTAATTTCCGATACTCCTGATAGCTAGGATCGTAATTGGTGTCAGACGCAATGGGTGGCAGCTCCTCGCCAGACCTTATCTGACGCAATCGGACCTTCCTCCCTAGCTGATGAGTATGCATGATGACGGCGAATATGTTGATGCCGCTGTTGGGTATGGTGTGGCCGGTACAGTCTGAGATGCAGTGACCTTCGGAGACCACCTCTGGCTGGCCAGGCGGTATGATGTGCCTCCAGTTCGGATCGATGCCAACGCTCAGGATGCCGGCGTCGTGGGTACGCAGCTTGTCCGTGTAATGCAAACGCAGGCCGGAGCTGTCGCTGATGAACGCGTCCATCTGCGGGTTCATGTAGTGCGTTTCCAGCATGTAGTAGCCTGGCCCCGCGTGCGGATCGAGCGCGTAGCCGGCCTCCGGCGGATAATTGAAACCCTACGAGAAAAACCGTGGCGAACGTTCGATTATACATCCGTTCGGCTCGGAACGTGCCCGACGTGATTCGAGAATCGGAAGCGTCGGGGCTCATGGTCGAAGGGCTCGTGCGCGGCCTCTTTTCGCTTCTGTCGAGGATAAACGGTGCGTTTCACGCTGTTTTTGTTCGCCGTGATTCACGATAAATATTTGCGCGGTGAATTTTTGTCGGAGCGTGCCACAGGTGTCTACGCGAAGGTATTCGCACGCTCGATGAGAAATTGTCCATATTTGAAACTGTTGTGACTTCACAAAGAAGGTATAACGATCGTTGATCACGTTTTAAAGTAACTTGGCATTAATAGCTCTAGATTAATTCCGTTTAGAAATGTTTTTACATCGTGTAGTGGAACAGTAGCAGGGATACTTTTGTTCCCTCTTCGAGTGTCTCTGAGAACGTTAAAAAAATTTTTTCCTAACTAAATCTGCCATAATCTTGAACACTGCAGTTTCCTTTTTTACAACAATCACTTAAAACTTGCTGTACAATCTTTCCTCGCCGTTTTATTGCACTTTGAACGTCAAGGTTCAATGGCAAAATGTTAAGATTTCTTGAATTTTTGTCGTTTAACTTTGTTCAAGATTCAATAAACTGACGAGCAAAAATCGTACAGTAATTTTTAAAAAGTCGACAAGACTTCAATTTTCAAGATTCAGTCATGGAAAATTTCGTGAGAACAATAAATTTTATGGGATTTTTGATCTTCGAGATCATGATAGATTTAGTTATAAAACAAATTTTTCAGTGTGCAAAATTTCCGAGAGGAAAAGTATCATTGCATACCCTCTTCAAGACGATGTAAAATCATCTTTGGAAAAAATAAACTCAGTAGTGTGAAAATAGAAGTTCCACGCTTTAAAATGAATATATTGTTTAGAGTACGAATACTTTCTGTGTCCATTTGTATATTAACACTTTACACGTTCGTTTGAGTTTGAATTTAACAAGAAATTTTATCAAGGGTTTTACAAACTACATTGTGTCATCGATTTCTCTACTTTTCTTTTCAATTTGATAAAAGACTAAATAAATAAAAGCCATAATACGAAATATAAAATCTAAAAACCAAATAGTATGTCTACATACCTGGGCCACGTTATTTCGATTATTGTTTCATTGGTCACATCACTTATTACGAAGTAAATCTAGCATGTAAAGTAGAGTAAGCATAGATTTACCCGGCTCCAGGTACGTATAAATCATATTTGAAATATAATCGAGATTTGAATCAGTGACGAGGGTAATTACACCGAGGTAAATCACTGTCCACGAATGTTAATCCGACGTCATCGTGGGACAAGCGTAAGAGACATACCGGTGCAATGTCAGGGAGTATCGCTGTAATTCTGGGTTTTGTGTAATGCATACCAATGCCGAAGGCAAGAGAGAGGGAGAAAGACAGACAGAGAAAAGAGAGAGAGAGAGACAGCGCCGCAAACTTGTTTCTTCGTGGTCGCGTTGGTAACACGAATACCCTGCGAAGATACAACTGATCGCCGGACAGTCGGCAATCTCACGCGCGACATCGTGTCACGATTTAATTGCTCGTACATGCGAAAGCACTCCTATCCACGTAGAATAATTGAAAAAACGAAGAAACGTGGCGTACTTTTCTCTCTCTTTTCGGTTCTTGGACAGCGAGCACGATCGAAGCTCTCGACGCGCGTCTTTTCAAAGACGAATCAACGGTCCAACGCTGGACCGGAATTGCATTGCACTAATCGATTCGACAAATTCCAATTAATTTCCCCCTTTAGGAAGCCGCTCGAAAACCGAGGGCCGAGCGCGATTCTTCGTTGCGTATGATTCGAGCAGAATTGTATTTCGGACGGGGCATCTCGGTGGTGGAGAACGGGAGGTTCGCATTAATTCTTCAATTTACATTTAAATGTGTCACGTAGCATACCTCAGAGCCCAGGCTCCAGATAGCCGCGATTGTGTTACATTGAAAAGACGGCTGATTGGGCTGATAGCAAACACTGCCGGACGTCTTCGCGGCGGATTCCAATTGCACCTGATCCCCACGACACTCGTACAAAGTCATGTGATGCAGGTAATCGTGACTTCCGGGTTGTATCACCGGCTCGTACTGGAAAAGGAAGAAATCATCAGCGCGTTCAATCCAACATCTGTCAGATAACAAGAAGGGAGAAAGACAGAGAGTGAGAGAGAGAGAGGAAGAACGCGCGCCGCTGACTACAAGGAACTTAATTCATCGCGCATGTACATATGTACGTATCAGCATTCGCTGAAAAGTATCTTCGATAAATCAAGAGTCCTTTTAACGAATCGACGCGCGGCCTTTCAATCGGCGTGAATCGCGCGTCAGGAACTTCAAGCAACATGTTCCCCGTTTGACGAACGTTTCTCCGCCACACGAATGTTAACTATCAAATGGAAAGAGCCGTTTTTACGCGACTTTATTAGACGAGAATCGCAAAGTAATCGCATTCACGGCGACGTGATCGCGAATCACGACGATGCAGAGATAACGTGCGTGAGAGCATTTCCATGCTACGTGACTCTGTTTTATTCCGCTTTCGCCAATTAGATAATTGGGTTAGATTCGACAATTACTCCAGATAACATTCACGTTATCCTGTCGCTTTAAACGCGAAACCAGCGTCAGCGCGTGTATAATAACGAGAAACACGCAGGATTTGAAAGTACTTGCCGACAGTGCGCGTTATCGATGCAGAACGACTCCGCGGATTACTCGATTTCATAGATCGGCTGTCACACGTCCACGTCGATCGCTCGTTTAGAGACAGATGCATCGGAAACCGCGTGGCGTTATCGGGATTTTCATCGAACATCACCGTTTGTAATAGAGATAAAACACGACGAATGATCTCGCGCGGATGACCCTCGAGGCCGCGCGTGAAGATACCTCGATGCGTGACAATGGTGTGTTTGTAAAAAAAAAAAAAAAAAAAAGTATTCGCGTTGCGATTGCCGGAAGACCGACGATTTATACTACTCCATATCAGTGTGGTTCGTTGTAACAGAAACGGAGGTTTAACGTTCAACGTTTAAACGGACGAAACGATCGTTTCGAAATTCCAGGAAGAAACTCGTAGAGTGGATTTCCACTCGACGAACCGACTGAAGATCTCTGACGCTCGACAGCTCCCACGTCGACGTGGATATCTGTTCGCGCGTCTTCCCCGGTTTAATCAAGTTTAGATGGGTTTAGATGCGTAAGACGCGGCGCGAAGAGGTTGGTTGCGAGGTAAGTAGGTTACAGCTACCGGGGAGAAACTTACCTTCACGACGTGGTGTTTGTGATCAATGTTTGGCATCCTTACAACGCGGCACCAAAGCAACGTGTCTTGTCCCTTGGGTAAGCGAACCTGCAAAGTAATTGAAAGACGCTCGGTTAAACGGGCATTTAATTCTTTGAGTTGGCTGTTCAGGCGCATCGAGACGAGCAAACTCTTCCACCCTATATAAAAAATGAGGCGACTCGCGGCGCGATTATTTCTGAGTTCGAAGGATTTCCAGGTTGCGTAACCCGTGTGGCCGGGTTGCTTTGAAAATTTTCATCAACTCCATTAGAGCAATCCACCGCTATATATAGGGGAAATGGCCGCCACGCGGAGAGGAGAGCGTAGAAACGAGCGGAGATCGAACAAGGGTTCAAGCCGGACGCTGTTAACCGTACATACACACACACACACACACGCACACGCACGAGGAGTTAATGCTTTCTCAAAACTTTCAAAATGTTAACCGGCTGTGTACCGGCTGTGTGCCGCCGCACAATACGACTGGAAACTCATCCAGATGGGAGGAGGAGCTGCGTGAAACTGGTTGCAACCGTGCGGACCTATCTATACCCGTTAATGGAGTAACCTGGTATTTAGCGCCGGTACACGCTAGCTGTCGCCGGACCGTCACAGCCTCCAAACTGTTTTTCTAATTGCAACTGTCTTCGACCGAGTTCCTCGCGTCCCGACGATTCGCGTGACGAAGTTAATCCGAGGGGGAACGATTCTCTACCTACCAGCGACACATTCGCCAGACGGAACGAGCGAAACTGCAGGTATATATACGCTCGCGTATGGATGAAACAGTTTCCTCCAACTTCTCCGCCACCGTCGCGTTTCTCTCTTCTCTCCTCCTCGACAGAGAATGAAACTAATTTTCACCGCGCGTGAAATTTTCGCTCCATCCTTAAGATAAAAAACTTCCACGTTAATCCGAGTCAGCGAATGAAATACTGAAAAATAACATAATACGAAATTTCCTATATACACGCACGCACACATACATACACACTCAGTGGAAAAAGGAAAGCAGAGGGTTTGTCGTTTAAATTAAGCGAAATCGCGGCGCAAAAGGATTCCTCTCGAAACGTCGAGACGCCCGACACTTGACATGAATTTCAAGGCGTTATCGGCATCGACTGTTTGCCCGCAGAGGAAAACGCACAAAGGCGTATCGAGTAAATTTAATCCTCGCCTTCGACAGTTTATCCCCCGTGTCGATCGGGGGTGGTAAGTGGTCGACGGTAAGAAAGAAAGAGAGAAGACAGAGTCAAAGGATTCCTCTCCACCCGGTGATTACCAGGCGTTTTAAACGACCGAAGAAAAATCGTCAGCGCGCGTCGATCGGGGCTGCGTTTACGCCGATCGAAAAACGATCTCGCAGGATATAAAGGAAAAGAAAAAACGGAGGTTGCGAGGGGAGAGGCTCGAGTTGCAGCCGCGGGGTGTGTACGCGATCCCGAAGAGAAAATTGCGATTCTTTTTTCGCGCGGCTGTGTTCTCTCCCCGACCGCCCTGAGCTCGGGCCATACTGCGCCGTAGGGTTCTCCCACGCGCTTCTGCGAAATTATCGATGTCAAGATTACCGAGAAGGACGACTGCGTTTATTGTTTTGCGGTCGAATATGCAGAACAGCCCCGGGGCCAGGCCAAGATTTCGGTTCAGCGATCCGCGTTTACGATTCCTCTGGCTTCTAACTGCATTTCCAGATCTCTCTCTCTCTCTCTCTCTCTCTCTTCGTGAAAAAGCTGATGTTCCCGATGCACGCAGTGCGAGAGATGCTCGAGGAATCACTTTATCACACGAAAACTGCGCATAAACTTTCATGTTCGGCCGGGTGTAATCTGGATAAATAAGGTACGACAGGAATGGATGCTGACATCGTGTGCGAGGGAATTTCTTCTAAATATGTACGCGAAACGTCGCTCGCTTTGCAATAGCTGATACATATGTATTTTACAAGAGATAGGTACATATTTACAGACGCGTGTCAGAGATAAATAACGCCGGAGTCAGAAGAAACTTTGAGCGATCCGGGAGTTTAGTTCGGATAATGTACGAAACAGAACTGTTCGTCTTCAATTTCAATGAGTTTAATTAGTGTTTGAATATTTTTGAAAACCTTTCACGAGTATCTTATGATACATAAATCTGACTCTGATGTCCAAACTGAAAGTATGGGTAGAAATGTTACCAACGTCAACTTAGTAAAAAATTAGTATAAGAAATGATTGAACGTAATCAGGACTAAAAACAAATTGATATAACGAGTTACGCTAAATACACAGTTTCCACGCGTGTATATTTTACAATCGTGGCAGCGAAGTCTCAAAAAATATACACAATGCATTCGTAAATTCACCTGAAGAGACAAGCCTCTACAAACATTCGAATACCTTCGTGATTCACCAACAGAATATCGCAATCACGCTTGAAAAATCTTCCCATTCGTCGTTTAATTCCATTTTAATGACATTCCACGGCACATCGACGCGCAGGACCTGATGGCAACGTTCGTAGTTCGCATAAACGAGACGCTAGATTGTCAAAGCAGCACGCGAGCGCTCGGTTGGTGAATTCATCGCGAGAATAGACGTCATCGCGAGAGCGATTCACGAAACGGGCTGCTCACCCTTGGCCGCTTTTTCCCCCCGGCCGCGTGGATTCTTGGAAAGAGAAGAGACGATAATTATCCTCCGGGTATGCCACCCGTTTCGCCTACTACGCGTTCAAACGGGTGGCTTCTTTTGAAGGCCGGCCCACATAAAAACGCGTTTTATGTTCGTCAGGCCGACGGTGCTCGCGTAGTCACTTCGTGTTTATATTTCGCCCGTTCCCTGTTTTCTATCGCGGCGCCAACTTTTTTATTCGACGATCTTTTTTCTTTTTTTTTTTTTGGTCCTACAAATAAGTAATAACGCGATCCCTGTTTCCGAAATCGGATCTGATAGGCTTTCAAGCGAGAAAAATTTGACGCGTGAAAGAAGCCTGTTGAAAAGCGTACGGGGAAGGAGGAAAGATAGAAAGCGGGGCATAAGAAAAAGAAAGGAGAGAAAAAAAGAAGAACGATACAGAAGAAAGCGGACACAGCGGATACGCGTCTGTTACGAGAGATGTAACGGCGATTCAACGACCGGAGGGAAGCTCTGCCCAGAACTCTCTGAATAACTATGTTGAGAATGAAGAATGATGGCGTATCCTTTTCACCAGTCACATTTGCCGAGACTATGATTGATGACGTACGTCGCTAATGAACTTCACAGTTCGTGGAAACTTGTGTGTTTCTTGCAAACATCAACAACGATTTCTCACCGAAACGGAGCGACGAAACGAAACGAAACGAAACGAAACGAAATGAAATGAAAATTTCCAGCCCGCCCGCGGAATAACGAGTTCGACTCCGTAAAATCCGAGATTATCTACGCGTGCGAACAATGACATGCAAACGATGTTTGGGGATACAGGGGGCGGAGAGAAAATAATAGAAAAAAAGAAAGAGAGAAGAAAATTGTACTATATAAATTCACGAGGCGCGAAACGCTGCATGCGCCCCGGGGGCAGATTTGGCGCTCGGCTCGTCGCTGAAGTTTCCCTTTTCGATTCGTCGCGAGAATGGGCCGTCGCCCAAAAAAAAAAAGAAAAAATGAAAGTATCGCTGTCGGCCTGCGTAGAGGGAGGGAAATGAATGCAAACCCGTTCTAACAAGTTGGCCCTCGCTCCTCTTTGTGCCCGCAGACATTCATATTCATCTCGCCCGCGATACAAAAGTTATTCGACTGGCAAAGAGGAACTTCCGCGCACGTAGTTAGCGGAGGAACAAGTGGCCACGCTAAGAAAGAAGAGGCCGTAAGATAAGCTAGTCGTTGACTATTTGAGACAGAGACAAAGAGATAGAGAGAGAGAGAGAGAGAAAGACACACTTGGTGTTCTCTCGCCAAGTAACAATTAAAACCGCGTTGCGAAAAGTTGTCGCGCGTGTCGTCGAGCAATCGGACGTCGCCGGTATTAAGAAGTTTGCCAATAAGACGCGTCATCGCGGCCAAGTGTCGCGTCTCGCGAAGAAATTGCGCAAGACAAGGAATAGCAATGTGGGAGAGGAGCGAGGAGAGGGAATGCGCCGAAGAACGGTGAATTGTTTCTTACAGCTGCAAAACTGCGGAATTGAAAAGCCGACGCCATACGAGGCAAGACCGTGGTAATTTATTAGTGGTTGTAACAGGAGACGATTCAACTGGGTCGAGGAAACTTCGAAATTGTACGGAACCCCCTCTGCTAAATTCGGCAGGAGCGTCGTGGCTACACGGGCAGCAAATATGTGCGGCAGCGAAACTTCGTTCCCGCGTGATCTACATTAGCACGATCGTTCGCTTGCTCGCTCGTTGTTCGGTTTGTCGCGTTCGCGGACCACCATCAGCCACGTTCAAACAGATACAAACCGTAAAACAGCATTCGTGAAAGTTGAAATTTCGTTCTTCGCTTTTATCGTCGCGATGTTTCATCGTGTGTGTGTGTTCGTGCGTGTGCTTTCAGCGAGATGTACATGTAATTGTTTAATTCGAAACTGTGCTCGTGTCTCTCTGTTGCAATCAAAGTAAAAGCGGTCACGCCAAAAGCGCAAATAATTTCATATCGGAGGGACGCCGTTGTAAGGGGAAAGGATCCGTTCGATTTGCTGGGCGAACGGGTAATTCCTTTCCAGCTGGGAGACGCGGTAATTTGTTTCAGCGTGATGAGCACCGAAACATCCCGGGGTCTCGCAATTCCGTTCGATACAAATTGTAAACAGAACTGATGAAATTAGCGTTGTTCGGTTTCAACCCGGCCATCTACCCATCTCCCCCTCGTAATTCCAATTTATTATTTCGCCCAATAATGCCGGCCGACCCCGTTCCCGTTTCCATTACTCTGCACTCGTTGACACGCACGTTTCTCACACCGAAAAATCGCGCGAAAGTGACATTTTATCGACGGAATTAGGCGCGATGCATTTTCGCGCCTCGACGATGGAAATTCCACGAGATGCGAACGGAAACGAGAACGAAAAGAACGAGCAAGAAAAGAGAGGAGAGGGAGAGAGAGAGAGATAGAAAACAGAGAGCACGTTCCCTAAAATTCTCGATTTTTCGCCGATCGAACAACGCCAAGCGAAAAGACACTGAAGCGTAAGCTGACTGATAACTTGGACGTTTCTCTCTCAGTATATTTGCTCGCCGTCTGTGCAGCAATCGCGTCGTGTTTACGACTTCGTTCACGTCGATGCAACACGTCTCGTAGTTGCTCTCAGACTATCGGCGTTTCCCTCTCGAAATTCAGGCATCGACAACGGACAGCACCGAGTGTTTTCCACCTTCATTATTCACGCGCATGATGGATATCCGCTCGTCGACGGCGGAATAGGCGCCACGTGAATCCGCGTAAATCCATACTGGAACCCTCCATACCCTCCCCTCTCCCCTGTCAGTATAAACTATTAGCAAAAGCTCGGCAGCCCGTGGAATTAGCATTGTCCGATCTGTGCGATAGCGTCGACCCGTAATCTATGACCCGGCGACGCTAATGAACGAATAGTTTTTGCCGGATGTGACCCGGTTAAGATTTATGCCGTCATAAATTCGGCGCACAATGCTCCGCGGCTTGCATCCGATAAAAATCCACTCGTACCAGGCTGAACGTTAAACGCGTTCGAACATTCATCTCACGCGCAACCGAGCCACCCACGCTACGCTCTCTTTCTCTCTCTCTCTCTCTTTCTTTTATCCGTTTGCTCAGCTTGCTCGTTCGCTCACTCTCCTTTTCGAATAATGCACGCGCTCGCGAAACAGAAGCGTGACTGAATCGACCACGAGAGTATCGCGGCCCGGAACAACAAAACAAAAGAGACCGACCGCCTCGGAGCAGCGAACGAGAACGAATAATGGCCCCTTGGGCGTGAACAGATTGCGGACCAAATTAGTGGCCATACCTTGAAATCGTGCTAGAGCTTTATTATCCGCTCTCCGGTGTGCGGGAATATCCCGAGTTTCTGAAATTTCCTTTGCGCTTTATCGGAATGTCGCGTCGGTTTTCACAATGAACGAAAAGCGTTAAAAAAATTTTCACAGAGGATTTTAGCAGAGGAGAGCTTTAGCAAAGGACACTTGCAGTTGAGTGACAAACTTCGGTGTTTGGTTAATGTCTGCTGGCTATCCAGCGCGAAAACTCGCACGAACGCTCGCTGATATTAGCCGTGCAATTGCCTTGGAAATTTTTCGTTCAATTAAATTTTAATAATCACAGTCGCGACGATTACGTGTAACAACTTCAAAGACGCTTCGTCGAAGTTCGACGAAAACCGTGTCAGAACAGCGAGAGCGTCTGACAACGAATCGGAACGGGGCCGCGATTCATTTTACTCGCCGCCGAAAAGTAAACTCAACGGCGGAAGCTCGCCGGGAAAGTAGCTTCCACTTTGAGATCGAGTTTAATATGATATCGTTGACACTGCGATCCGGCCCGTAATTAAAACTCTTTAATCGCCTTTTCCGGGGAACTCCTTCGCCGTCCCGATGAATATTAAGCCCGGTTCTCTTGTCGCGTGTTACACGCGCGCGAATATAACGCGAGCGATGAATTGTGCCAACTGTTCCTTGAATAATTGGATAAACAACATGGCCGAAACAAGAGAGATAGATAGATAGAGAGAGAGAGAGAGAGAGAGAGAGAGAAAGATCGTTCGATAACTTCCACGTTGAACCACGGCGAATGAGTTCACGCGTTTACAGCACGTACACGTCAGGCGAAACTTTTACCGATACAAGAGCCGTACGAAATGTTCGTTTTCACCTCTCCCCTACACCCTTTAATCCGACTGCTAACAACCAAAATCCGGCGAAAACCTATCCATTACATTATTACCACCTACGCGGGCCTCTCGGTCATTATGCATAACGTAAGACGCGTTGCATCGCCGCGTATCCTCCCTACCCGCGCGGTATAATCATATTACGGTGTATCCGCCACGCAATGGCTCGTATTACACCATAATTTTCCGCCCACGCGATTCCGCTACGCGTTGGTTTCGCACATCATCGGCCCATCGGTGGAACACGCCCGATGCCTCGGTACCGCGCGCGCGTTTCACGTTGCACAGGGATAAAACACACGCCCGTGGCTCGTGGGGTAATCGATCGTTTGGAAGCCATCAACAGACACGGATAAATGATTCGATACCAACCTGCTGGTTCAATATGTCCCACGTTTGTAGCGGCGGTTCGGCTTCTTGGTTGCGCGACGTCGGCCTCGGCTGCGCGTCCCTTTGCACCAGATAGAGCGGCCTCGATCCACGGATGGCGTCGTGATCCGGCAAAACTCCGGCCGCGGACACCGGTTCCTCCACGTGATATTGCCAAACCACTTGCATCGTGTCGTTCTGCAACATAAAGGGTAACGATTGCTGAAGCTGGTGTCGAGTCTCTCGAGTTGCTCTCTCGGGTCGAGCTTGGGTCGGGGTCAGAGTCACGCCGAGTCACGCCGAAGTCGAGCCGAGCCGAGTCGAGTCGAGTCGAGTCGAGTCGGGTCGGGTCGAGTTCGGCCAACAAGGGCTACAGACACGAGCGTGGCACCGCCTGGTCCTTCATTTTTGTTATCGAAAAATATCGATAAGGACGGCTTACGGAGGCACAAAGGCCCCCGTCTTTTATACCCGGCTTGCTATAAAAGTCGAAGCCTTCGGGTTACCAGAGGAACGACGAGGATAAAGCAGAGGCCGAAGAGAGAGGAGAAGGTTGGAACGGGCAGAGGGTGGAAAACTCTCTTCGTGCTTTCACGTTCAAATTCCGCAGGCATATTCTCAGAGTCTCTCCTTCTCTCCCTCTCTCTCTCTCATTCTTTCTCTTCGGCCGAAGGACGGGGCACTCGACCGAGAATTTTTAATTTAACCCTTTTTATTTCGCAATATCCCCCGGCCGAGCGAACGAATCGCATATTGCAGTTTCGACGAGCTCGCCCGAACGTGGAAAAAGCGTTCCCGTGTACGTCGCGTTAACCTGTGTCCTATTATCGAAGACTCTGTCCCCGGTTGCTTTTAGGCTAAGCCTCCCTTCCTCTCGCCGCCCCCTTCTCGGTTGCTCGCTCGTTTCGCCATTTATTTTTCCACCGGCTGAAATGAAACCGGCGTAAGTTGATTAGTCAACGTCGGCAACGACGTAGCGAATAACACGGAATCGAATCGGGTTTTCGCGTTTCGAAGAAGATCCACCTCTCACCCATTCGCAGCACATACGCTTCCATACTTCCATTCGACTCGGTCCACCAGGAATTTATCGCGGCTCGATTATATCGATCAGCCTGGAATTAGATAGGCGTTCGTGGACTCTATCGTCGGTGCTCGTCACCTTTTCCCTCGCGTTCTTCGAAATCGAACGCTCTTTTCTCCGGCTATCGACGAACAACCAAATCACCGGGTTATCGGAGTGAAATTAATTAATCCGTCGATTATTCGATCATTTGATTTGCACTCCCCTTCGTTGCACGCGAGGGAAATCGATCGAAGGAAGAAAAGACGAATCGTCGAACGCGCGTGAACGAACGTGCGGTTTCGATCGCAACGGCCAAGCGAGACGCGTTTGCCAATAAATATGTTCAGATAATCCGGCTAGTCAGTTTGGCGAATCGATTTCGAAGTAAGGATGACCGAGCGTATTCATTTGCGATTCACCTCTCTCCGAGAGGAGACAGACAGGGGGCCGACCTTGTCTATGTGGAAACGGTTGTATTTACCTGGCTGCTGGCGCGGGTCCAAGCACCAAAATAGCGTATGCTTGGTTTTATACGGCCACCAGCGAAATTAGTAGCCGGCCACGTTCGTTTCGCCCTTTTCGATTAAATTGTGTATGAAATCTGCGCGTGCACTCGTGCACCACGTCTCTCGAACACGCGAGTTTCAAGCACACGAGCGAAGCTGCGGTCCGATCTTTCCTTCATGCGAGGATATACAGTAATATTCAGTTAAAGAATCTCGCGCGTGTAGAGCTTGAAAAAAAAAAAAATAAAAAAAATAAAACGCTGACAAAGTAATCGATCTGGGACGAAGAGAGCCCGAGGCTCTTTGACGTAATTGTCAATTGATGTCTTAAGACGTAATTGATTGCAAGCGTAAATGTAGCGTGACAGGTGTGACGTTGCGACACGTAATGAACCAAGAGGTAATACATTCTGTCTAACGCTCGCTGGCAGACACGTCAATAAAACTACATGGGCAGATTGGTGTCTTAAACGCGGGCGTAGCAAAGGTCACGTCAAAGGATACGTCCGCAGGGACGAGATGATGGCGGGGCAAAGACCTTTGAGAATCCCTCTGTAGAGTCATCCGACTCGAACCGTAAGGAAGCTGACACTCGGTGGATTCGTGGTTGTAGCGAGACCACGGATACCCGGTTATCGAACGGCAATCTGAAATTACGTTATTGACACCGTACGGCCCTCTCGATGAAAAGAAACACAATGTGATACACGAAGTGAAAGAACCTATCAAAACACGGATCGGATGATCCACCGACTGTTTCAAACACCCATCCCATCCACCGCCCATTTCCATCGGGCAAAAGCCTCGGCCGCTTTAACCGCGGGATTACTTAATCCAGCCTTTTCTCTGTTCCGCGTTTAATAAATATGCCAACGAGCGTGTCCGGTTTATTCACGTGACACGGACGGAATTTTCCCACGTGAACGCGAACCCGAAGCGAGCAATCAATCGACAGGGTTTTTCATCTGCAAAAGTTTTACGTACGGGCATGCCTCGGGGATCAATTCCGCGCGGCCGTGTGCACCGATAATCTGCTGTCTGTGTGTCATCGTGTGCATCCCGCATCGGGCGCGCCCTTCGCAAAAGGAAGGGTCACACGCGAGCCGAGGGTGTCGCGACGCGACGCGACGCGTGTCCCGCTCACGATATACCGGCAATGGTATTCCCGTCCACATCCGACGGTGGTCGACCTCGAAACACGTATATCGATCCACGTTATGTGCCAACGTGTGCCGGCCCTCGCGGACCACTCACAATTTCGAACAATCACAAGTGATTGAGGCATTGGCCAGATGCAGTCTCGTTAATGTTTCATTCGGCCGGAGGGGGCCGAATCGCCCTTATCAGCTGCGCTCCTAAACTAATTACAGGCGGTGAGATTTGTCGCCTGGATACTCTTCTTTTTCCCCGCAGCTAATCTGTCGTTCGGCGGGTACCTTTCATTCGTTGATTAACGTTCAATCACATTAACCAACGATATATATATATATACATTCGTAACATTCTACGATGCCCGCTGTTTCGTAAAATTCGCGAAACTTTTCTCCCCGTTCGTGAAAATGATGCACGCGGTCGAACTCTGCTTCGACTACCTCGACTCTGAATTTAAAATTCAATTGCCTCGCAATTGGTTGATTGACCTTTAGCTAGATTGCTGCACAGAGATTCCCTAAATCGATGGTTCTCCTTATCGAGTCCCTTATCGATTTCAGAAAATTCTCGCCAAATTCTCCCGGCTGCTTGAATTACTTATCCACCGTGGATTCCGAAATTTCACTGGGTCCGTCGTAGCCGAATTGGCATTCCAGCGGGAACGTTCCAGCCCGGAATGATCTCGTTATCGTTTCATAACGACGGACGAGATTAAATCGCGCAACCGTTAACGATAAAAGCGAGACGTGCGCCGTCGAGCGATAGCAGAGAAAAAAAGAGGAGAGAGAGAGAGAGAGAGAGAGAGAGAGAGGAGAGAGAAAGGACCGGGTAACGCCAACGGTGATTCAGGAACGGACAACGGAATTACGCAGTCGTCGGGATCGAAGCGACGCGGCGCGACGACGACTAGATTCGCAGGCGGCTCACGCGTCGGCCATTCACGTTCTTCGATAATCGCCGCTTCGACCGATCGGCGATGGCAGTGATCCAGAGACCCGGGAATCATCGGGCGTTTTACACGTTTCCGCGCCTACGTTCGTTCCAGCCCGAGACAATTGGGCGCCGTTTATCCGAATTGAATAGCCACCGGTTAGGTGCAAAGCCACCTCCAGACGACCTAGATCCAAAGGCGGCGAAGATCGAAAGATTCTACGTTCGAGCGCGAGGAGATGGAAGGTCGATAGGAGGAAATGGGCATCGCGTGAGAAGCCCGGACGGAATCACGCGAACCCGACCGTATCGGCCGAGGCCCGGAAAGCCTCTTTGACGACGTCACACCGAGCCGAATCCTCTGCCATCCGAGTCGTCTTTGTGCGCCGAGACGAAGGTTGCCCGATCATTGAGAGAATTAAACGTGTCGCGTGCTCCGGGACGATCTCGCAGAGGAGCGTTCTGCATTGAATCGACACAACTCTCTCGCCAGCAGCGAGTTCGTTTCTTTCCGGTCTTCCTTTGTGAAACGGAACGAACGGTAGGTGCCACTTCGGAGGGAACAGAGACGGGAACCGCTTCGGAATCTTTTGAATTTCGCACGCGAGGAATTGCGCTTGACCTTCCAGAGAGTCTCGCGTTGTTCGCCAACTTTTGGAATCTCCTTAAGCAATTGGAGGAGAGGTGGTCGAAGCTCGGGAGGATCCAGGGGAAGAGTCCAAGAGTCCGTTATGGTCGAAATTCATTTCATTCTGGTAGGTGGGTGGGGAAGGGGGCTCGTTTCATTAAAACGCGAGATTGGATCGAAGGGTATAGTGCCTCTCTTCTTCGAACGGCACTGTCAATAGTCAGCGGAGAGGTAAGTCGAAGATGGAACAACGTTTCGGCTGGAACAACGAGAGATTAGGGGAGAAATGGGGAGCAATTCCGGTGGACAGGAGGCAAAGGAGTGAGGAGGCTACGAGAATCCTCGGTTAAGTGGAAATATCTTTCCTTTGCTGGGAACGTTATTCTTCATTAAGAAACTTTGTTGTTCTTCGCTCTCGAAACGCGGAAATCTCTCCCTCTCTCTTTTTCTAGCCGCCTTCTCTTCTTTCTCTCGTCGGTCCCTTTTCGCGACCCCAGCCCGTTTCACCCTTACATTATATCCCTGACCGTGCGCGCGTCTGTCTTGCGAGAACTCGTAGCTCGCGATTATCCCTTCCAATAGTCGTTGAATCCCAGAGACGAGATCCCATTTGGAAAGTTAAAGATGTCGCTCAGCGATGCCAAGAGAGGGCAAACGCTCTCGGCGCGATCCCTTCGCGAAGTGAATCGCGTCGTAAAAGATTTAGTCGCCATGCTCGGCCCCCTGACGTCCTCGAACAAAGAACCGACCCGCGTTTGAGCGGCGAAGGAGGGAAACGAGCGAAAATTGAAAGTGGCGCGGCCGCGGACGCGGTCCGGTTTTTCTTTCTCTTTCTGTTTTTTCTTCTCCTTTTTTTTTTCTTTAATTGCGTTTCTTAACGGCGCGACGCGAAACTTTCGATTTAATTACTTAACGG